CACAAGATGTTTCAAGTTCATGTCGTATTTTCTTTTCTTTAGCCCTGGATTCAGCAATTTCTTTAAGGAGCACTGGTTCCTTTAACTGGAGAGTGGTATTTGGAGTGTTTAGAAATTAAGATATTTGTGTTCAGTGTGCAGACCATAATGTCATTGACCTCTACTTAAGTTTTTGAAAGCAGCTTGATATAGGGGAAAGAAGGTAGCTCTGAATATATGTTTAATCCCTCAATGAACTTTTCTTCTTTGGGCCTTAGTGTCCTCATTTCTTTCTTTTTTTAAATTTTTTTTCTTTTAAAGATTTTATTTATTTATTTGACAGAGAGAGACACAGCGAGAGAGGAAACACAAGCAGGGGGAGTGGGAGAGGGAGGAGCAGGGAGCCCGATGCAGGGCTCGATCCCAGGACTCTGGGATCATGACCTGAGCCGAAGGCAGACGCTTAATGACTGAGCCACCCAGGCGCCCCTAGTGTCCTCATTTCTAAAATGGGAGAAAATAGTATCAACTTTGTAGAGTTGTGAGATAATTTAAGTAAAATGTCAGGCATATAGGTGTGGGGTATATAGGAGATGTTCAGTAAATTGTAATTGCTGTTTTTTTTTTTGCTATCTATGTTCATGCTACTTGGGTAAGTTTTATCCTCACTGTATAAATTGAAACTTAAAAAAAAAATTGTCCTGAAACTACCTCAAGTTGCAAGCTTTCCCTGGGTCTTAGTTTCCTCATCTGTGAAATGAAAAGGTTGGACTTAGATCTATGAGATTTTTTCCAGCTCAACTGTTATTCTGAGTTACTCCTTAGTTCTTCAGTTGCTTTTTCTCCAAACTCAACAGCCTCAATTCATTTTAACCCTTCCACTAGGACCTTTTATTCATCTCTTTGATCATTCCTCTGGTTCTTTTCTGGACCTTCTCCAGATTGTCCTTCTATTTAAAAAAAACAAACAACAACAACAACAACAAAAACCATTGGAAAAAAATCCACCTAAGTTTTATTGAGTGCTGACTCCATGCCCAGAATGATATTGAGCAATGGGACAGAAGATAAAAGAAGTATAAGATAGACTGTGCCCTGGGAGAGCTTATAGTTTTGCTAAAAGGATCAGTTATGTACACCATGATATTCCAGAATTGCTGGAGTCCTTCCTTCCTTCCTTCCTTTTCTTCCTTTTTTCTTTTTTCCTTTCTCTTCCCTTCCCCACCACGCCCCTCCCTTCCCTTCCTCCCTCTTTCTTTCTTTCAGATCAGGGAGGTCTCTTTACTTTCAGAACCTTTCTGAAAGCAAAAGAAAAAAATAAGGGTCAAATCTTATATTTATTTTAATGAGGGGCTGCCTGCAAAAGAGCTTATCATTGGAGTTGTCTGGAATAGGTCTTTGCATTTATGTTATGCCTTATAGCTTGCTTATCTTTTTCACGTACACTGTTTTATTTGGTTCTCAAAACAAATTTATGACAAGCAGAGCTGGTTGTTCTGCTTCTGTGCTTTTCCATTCTACTGCGCTTCCTCCACTTTGACTTCTCCCCTTCTCTATTCTGCCCACTTCTTAAGGCTTCTTTGTGAAGTCTTTTTGGATGACTATGTAATTCTTTTCCCCTCCAAATTTCTGTATTTGTTTATTACACACCTTTAAGCATTTTTGTACATTTTATTGAAGCATAATAAAAATATAGATAAGGCATAAATCATAAGTGTACAGGTCAATGAATCATTACAAAGTGAACTAACCAGCACCCAGAACCAGAAATAGAACCCAGGAAGCTCCTTGAGCCCCCAGTCATTACCCATAGCCAAGGTTAATCACAGTCTTCACTTTGAATATCCTAAAATAGTTTTGCCTTTTAAACATATAGTAGGTACTCTATGTACAGTATGTCTGCTTCATCAGTATTGCTCTGTGTAGTAATAGTTTATTCATTCTTATTGTTGTATAGCATTTTATTACATAAATATACCATGACTCGTTTACATATCTATTGATGGGATTTGTATTTTTTCCAATTTGAGCTGTTAATAATAGTGCTGCTATGAACATTCTTTTTTTTTTTTTTGCTATGAACATTCTTATACATGGTTTTTGGTAAACATATGTACACTTTTCTGTTGGTGTATATACTTAGAAGTGGAATTGCTGAGTTTTATAGAATGTGATACTCAGCTTATGTAGATAATGCCAAGTAATTTTCCGAAGTGATTGTGCCATTTTACACTCCCACCAGCAATGTATGAGAGTTCTGGTTGCTCTGCCTCTTCGCTAACACTTCTGTGTATGTGTGTGTGTTGGGGGGGGTACAAGATCTTTAACCATTTTATTTATTTTTATTTTTTATTTTTATTTTTTTAAGATTTATTTATGAGCGAGAGAGAGAGAGAAAGAGCATAAATAAGGGGAGGGGCAGAGGGAGAGGGAGAGAGAGAATCTCCAGCAGACTCCCACTGAATGCCGAGCCCTGTTGCGGGGCTTGATCCCATGACCCTGAGATCATGACGTGAGCTGATCAAGAGTTGGATGTTTAACTGACTAAGCCACCCAGGTGCCCCTTTAACCATTTTAAAATGTGATATTTAGTTCTGTTTCTTGTGTAGTGAGTCTTCTTTCTGTTCTCCTTAAGACTATGAGCTGCTTGAGGATAGGAATTGCTTGTATCCTAAAACCTCACACAAAGACTTGCATGTTGTGGGCGTTTAATAAAGTTTGGGTGAATGAATGTATACATGGCGTATATGTAATTAAAGACAGAAGGAAATAATAAGAAATAACCATATAAGTGGTTGGGTTTGTTCATTCAACAAATATTTGAGTGTTTCCCATATCTAACACACTGTATTTGATTCTGGTAATATGCCTGATTTCTACCCTCATGGTTCTTTTTGGTAGTGGTGATAGAAAATAAGCAAGTTTCATATATATATAATTGTACATTATAATGAGTACTATGAATGAAATGAACAGGCTACTGCTGTGATAGAGAATAATGGGATGATAAGAAACTGTTTTAGATAAAATGGTCAGAGAAGGCCTCTTTGAAAAAGTGACATTTGAGTATTTCAGGGTATTTTTTTTCTTTTACAAAAAGTTGTTTATTGGTATCTTTTCATTTTAAAGAAAGGAAAAATTGATGCCTTTAAAGGTCAAGGGAATCTTTTTGAACAACAAATAGTAAATGTGTCTATTTATAGATATGTGTAGGTATGGGGAAACTAGGTGGTGTTCTTGGTACTAGATACCTAGTTACTTCAGTATTTCAAATAGTGTTAATGTTAACTCATGAATAATGGTAGGACAGAAATATAGCAGTTGGTGAGACAATCACACAGGAATCCATTGGTTACTCCTGGAGCTATGGGAGAAGAGAAGGATCATGTAATCTAGTAAAAGAGAATTTGCGCCAAAGCCCAGATAGTTGAAATTGTTGTTGGTTGTTCTTTGAATCTGTTTGAGTGCTTTTTGTTCTAGATAAACCATTATATTGATGTATGTAATGTAATGGGAGGTGTTCTGTGTTTAGTCTGTTTTACAAAGCCTCCTTAATACCTATGAATTAAAGTGTAAGTGTCCTTGGGACTAACAAGGAAAATCCTAACTAATTTTTTAATATCCTTATTTGGAAAGAAAGAAAAGTAAATGGTAACTCTCAATTAGAAATTCTGTTTTTCCCTCATTAGGATTAAAGAAAAAAATCATTTTCATTTCATGTTTTCCCTCTCTTCTTGGAATAAACCAGAATTGAAGGGGTAACCCTCCTTCTGCTCCCTCACCCCTTTTTAGTAAAGAACATTACTGAGAATTTGGAAACTATTCCTAAATTCATCCATAATTTTACTACCTTACAAAATAACTCTTTAATTTCTGTATGTTTCTAGAGATGCCCATATGCATTCATGCTTTTACCTATAATTTTATACATTTAAGTGTTTTCATGTTGCCAGCAATAATGAGCTTTAATGTAAATTGTGGACTTTGGGTGATAATGATGTGTCAGGGTAGGTTCATCTGTTGTAAGAAGTGTCCTGTTCTGCTGGGGAATGCTGATAGTGGAGGATGTGAGTGTATGAAGAAGGGGTTTATGGGAGTTCTCTGTACTTCCTGCTCCGCATTGCTGTGAACATAAAATGGGTTTAAAAAAGAAAGTGTATTAAAAAAATCTCAATGACTACATGATTTTCCATTGAATGACTTTACTGTAATTTAATTAACCATCTTATTGGACCCCCCCCACCCAGTTTTCACTCTTGTGAATAATGCTACAGTGAGGCTCTCTTACATGAATTTTTTTCCCTTGGGAATTTATTTTCAAAACTATGTTTATTGGTCTTGATTTTAATACCAACCTAATAGTGTTATGGTGAGTATTAAAGAAGGCGATATATGTAAGGCACTTAGCATAGTACCTGGCACATGAAAATTGTAAATAATGGCTGTTTTATTACCAAAGTACATTCAAGTGCAATGGGAACATAAAAGGAAGGCAATTCTGATCTGACCAACAATGATGGTGATTATGGTAAGGATGGAAGCTCCTATTTATTAAGTATTTTGTTGAAAGGTACTTTACATGTGTTATCTTCTTCAGTCCTCCCTACAACTGAGGTTCAGTAAGTTGCTCATGGCCACCCAGCTTATATGTGGCAGAAGCAGGCTTTAAACTTAAAATTGATTGTTAAGAGTCTTTTTTTTCCTCCCTTATACCACACTGCTGCCAATGTTTAGGTAGGTCTTTATTGCAACTCTAGTTCCTAGAGTTGACTCAGATTTATTTAGTTCCAGGTTTCCAGGACTGAATCCTTTTATTTATTCAGGTATCCAGCAGATGTTTATTGAGTACCTACTGCATACCAGGCACAATTTTAGGTGCCCATCTTGGATTCTTTTAGTGATCAGATCACCAGGAACTAGGTTAAGCAAAGCTGGAAAGATTCTATAGTCTTTACTTTGAAGCAGCTCTACTCAGAGTAATGCTCTCTGTTGCTTACATCTGTTTTTTTTTAATCCCCCAGTGGCCTCAGATGAGCCAGTCCCTAGAATGTGGTGGATCAGAACAGATTCCTGGGATAGATGTTCAGTGGAGTAGGAAGTATCACACCACAAATAAGGTGAGAATTATTAGTGTTCTCTACATTTATAGACTGCTTTCACACAGGTCTTCTTATTTGAACCTCAGCAAAATTGTTAGCTGGATGAAGGAAGGAATTTTATTGAATGCAGAAGGTGAGACTCATAGAAGTGAAGTGACTTGCCCGAGGTCACAAGGATAAGTGATAGACCAACTGAATATTTGAACCTAAAGCTTTTGATCCTGTGTCCTGTATTTCTTCTGTTGTACTGCCTTGCTTGGAAAGCACTTTAGAGAAGAAAGTTGTTACGGATTTTTTATATGTTAAAAGTAATGTAAAGATTTTTATATGTTAAAACATAATGTGTTTAATTAACTTTTGGAGAATTTCTTATTGATTATATAGCCTCCCTTCATTTGGAGAGGCTTAGCGTAGAATAGGTTTTTCTTGGAGTTTATTTGCAAACTGCAAGATTCATATCTTCGATAGTCATAAATAAATGTGTTATAATAAAAAATACAAGTTTAGGAACATTTATTCAGTGCTTGCTTTGGTTGATTATGATTTTGAATGACCTTTGACTGCTTTCAGACAGGAGTTTTCTTTCTTTTTCCTGTTATGTTAAAAACATAGAGCATTCTTCTTCTCAGAATTCTTCTTTGAGAGATGCGGGTCAAGATTTCCTTTTAAAAGTACTCTTTTCCATAGAACTTTTATTCTCATAGCTCAGATCTGTCATTTCCTCAACATGGGTTCATAGGCATATGAGGTGGCTCTAAAATTTGAAGGATACCTATTAGAGTTCCAGATGTATTTGCACTGAGTGATAAGATGCCCAGAAAAATGAGAATTAGAAATTCTAGGTGAAAAAAAAAATCTAAGCAATAAAAAATACCCTTAGATCTAATAAGAAACAAAAGCATTCTTTTTTAAAAAATTCTTTTGCGGGGTGCTTTGGTGGCGCAGTTAGTTAAGCATCCAGCTCTTGGTTTTGGCTCAGGTAGTGATCCTCAGGGTGGTGAGATAGAGCCCCACGTCAGGCTCCACACTCAGCGAGGAGTCTGCTTAAGACTTTCTCTCTGGGGGCACCTGGGTGGCTCAGTTGGTTAAGCGTCTGTCTTCAGCTCAGGTCATAATTACAGGGTTCTGGGATTGAGCCCCTTGTGGGACTCCCTGCTCAATAGGGAGTCTGCTTCTCCCTCTCCCTCTGCCCCTCCCCCTGCTCATGCTCTTTCTCTCCAAAAAAAAAAAAAGACTTTTTCTCCCTCTGCCCCCCCAAATAAATAAATCTTTTTATTTTTTATTTTTTTTAAAGATTTTATTTATATATTTATTTGATAGAAAAAGAAGCAGAGGGAGAAGCAGGCAGAGGGAGAGGGAGAAGCAGGCTCTCCGTGGAGCAGGGAGCCCAATGCAGGACACAATCCCAGGACCCTGAGATCATGACCTGAGCCGAAGGCAGACGCTTAACTGACTGAGCCACCCAGGCACCCCAAATAAATCTTTTTAAAAAATTATCTTGCAACTAATTTTGTCCCCTTCTTTTTGATGAAATAGCTTTCTACTACCAAGGATTCCCCACAGCCTGTTGAGGAGAAGGTTGGTGCCTTCACGAAGATAATAGAAGCCATGGGATTTACAGGACCTTTGAAATACAGTAAATGGGTAAAATCTTTTTAAATTCTTCTTATTTTCTTTTTGGGCTTTGGGTGTTCTGCTCCTTAATAGGTTTTTTGTAAAGCTTCTGCTTTGTTTCTGTGAAATTCATACATTATTTTGAGAGCATTGAAATGTGTTGTCCCTCCCCCCATCCCCCATTCCGAGTCAGATCTATGTAATATGTGGATCTGGAATACTTTGTTCCCTTAACCTGATTCCTTAGAAGTATCTCAGGACAAGTCAAGCCAATAAGACTGGGCTTTCCAGGCTCTTGCTACATGATATGCCATACAAATGAGTTATAAGGAAGTAGATGGGCCAAATGTTTGGATGGGTAGCATTCTTAAGAAATATTACTCTTTGATGAATCCATATTCATAAATGATTTTTTTTCACTAGGTCATTATGGTGACTTTTGTTAAAATTTTACTAATAAGCACTTTTAAATTAATTAATTCTGTAATTTATTATAATTCTTATTATGGAGGGATATTTGCTAGCTGTGTCATTCCTAGTCAAGTCTTGGCCTAGCACATTATTTGCTATAAATTCATGAATGTCTTCTCTGCATCAGGTGCATATTTGCCCCTGGGTTTTTATTTTTATTTTTATTTATTTATTTTTTTAAGATTTTATTTATTTACTTGAGAGAGAGAGAGCAGGGTCAGAGGGAGAAGCAGACTCCCCGCTGAGCAGGGAGTCCGATGTGGGACTCGATCCCGGGACTCCAGGATCATGACCTGAGCCGAAGGCGGTCGCTTAACCAACTGAGCCACCCAGGCGCCCGCCCCTGGGTTTTTATAACAGTGCCTCTAACCAATTAAAGTAATAAAATATTAGCCCAGTTATCTCCTGGTGCTAGCATTTCTCTCTAACTTTATAGCAGAAGTGCCTTTTAATACTTCTCAAGGTTGCTAGAATGTTGGATAAGTCTAATCAGTCGTAAGTTATATGTTAATCAAAGCAAGTCAACACAAAGCAGTAGGGAGGACTTTTCTAGAAAACATCATAGCTTTGCCCCAAATGATCAAATAATGCCAGTTATACCATTTTAACAGGATGGATTCAAATTAGAATTTCAGTTTTATTACAGACTTGTAGTTTCTCCTTGCAAGGTTTGGTTCTCTTCCTAAGATTCTCACTGCAGCAAGTATAGGCTTTTCCCTATAATCTCTCTTTTACATAAATTCTGGAAAGCAAATGGTGATTCCACAAACATTTTGTTTTTAAGGGGCTTTGAAAAGTATAGAAGATAACACATATACTAGGTAATAATGATGTTCTTGAGACCCTAAGATTATGAAGTGCCTTCTTAATCATCAGCAAAATATTAGTTATATTCATTAAAGTTATCTTTTTTACATCTTAATATTTTGTCAAATGATAATCATTGGTATATGTGCTGCCAAAGCAAGCATGATAATCATTGGTATATTTGGTAATGTGTTTAACAAGAATCTTTTATGAAAAAAGATTTGTGATTATGGCATTTGGATTCAAAAACTTAAAATATGTGTTTTGTTTGAAAATTAGAAATTAATTAAAAGAAAAGGGAAGTGAGAGCAGAAAGAAAAAAAAGGGAAAAATATACTGTTTTATTCATTTCTTGATGGTTGAGTTCTGCTTGGTTGCTACCATTGCTTTGTCTAGTCTGTTTTTTTATGATTCCAGAGGGAAAGTTGGCTACCATTTGGAGGATTACTAAATCATCAGGAAAATTTCTTCACTGTTGTAGTTTAAGTTAGCCTTTGATTTTTCTTGGTTCCTTTGTGACCTCACCTAATATTTTCATTTTAAAAGGCTTTATGATGTGGCAGTGTCTACTTTCTGTAACCTTCATTTTTTAATTTGTGATATCAAAATGTCAAAGTATGACATTCTAGTATAATTTGGGTGGGAAAACATAGGTATAACTTCCCATTTTGAAAGATTACAAGCCCTGGGTGCCTGGGTGGCTCAGTCGGTTAAGCTTCTGCCTTCAGCTCGGGTCATGGTCTCAGGGTCCTGGGATTGAGTCCCACATTGGGCTCCCTGCTCAGCGGGGAGTCTGATTCTCTCCCTCTGCTGCTCTCTCTCTCTTTCAAATAAATAGAAAGATTGCAAGCCTTTTTCAGTAAGTGTTGACTTAGTTATCTTTGACTAGACACTTGGATTGGATTGCACTGGAAAGATCTTTGAGTTTTGTGTTTTCACATGTCTTTCATTAGGGAGTAAAATATCTGTTTGACATCAGCAGTATCAACCATCTTTCCTCCATTTTTTTCTGTAGCATTTTCATATGTAGTTTCATTTTTCTTCTAGATTCATATTTAGGAATTTAAATGTAGCTTTTTCTTACTTGTTTGTCCTGAAATCGTTCTTTTCCATTATCTTTATGTAGCAATATCAGTTAAGACAAGGACAACATTTCCCAGGTTCAGTCACATGTCATAGAATAGGCAATTTCCAGATTAGCATAAAGCCAAAAAATTATTTCTGTTCTGAAGGATACTGTCAAACTGGAATGCATTCAGAAGTGGGCAGTGATGGGGCGCCTGGGCGGCTCAGTCAGTTAAGCGTCTGCCTTCGGCTCAGGTCATGATCCCAGGGTCCTGGGATCGAGCCCCATGTCAGACTTCCTGCTTGGCGGGAGCCTGCTTATCCCGCTCCTTCCCGCTTGTGCTCTCTCTCACTGTCTCTGTCACTCTCTCTCTCGGTCAAATAAATAAATAAAATCTTAAAAAAAAAAGTGGGTAGTGAGCCTTGTGAAGGCTTCAGGAACTGTGTTGGATGAAGAGTGGTTGAAGGAAATAGGGATGCTTACCCTGGAAAAGAGAGGACATGATTATTCTTCTCAGGTATTTAAAAAAATAAAAAAATAAAAAATAAAGAGACTTAATCTAACTAAAGTATTCCACTGGGCAGTGGATGTTTCGTGAATGTTACATGAAGCAGATTTACATTCATAAAACAAAAATCTAACAAGAACTGTCCTTCAGGGGGATAGGTAACCTCCCAAGGTCATTGGACTTGTTTGAACAGTGGCCCAGATGGTTGACTATGAATCAAGAATGCTGTAGAAGGAATTCCAGTACAGAATAGAAGGTTCAAATGACTTCAAAGCCCCTCCAACTTCCACACAGCTGTTAGGGCAAACCTTTTATTGCATTCATTTTTCATCTTGTAAGATGGCACAAGATGCATCAGTCAGTGGGAGAGCTGATTTTCATTTCTTAAAGCTGTCTGAGGTGCTTGTGTTTTCATCAGGGACACTGATGAAGTCTTCCAGAGTTAGAATGAAATAAACATGAAGTCTTCTGAGAACCAGAACGATTTGTATTGACTGGGTGGAATTTAGTCCACCTACCTCTTTAGCTTATATTAATGCATGAATCTTGGAAGAAATTCTTTCCCCAAGTTGTTATTTCCAGTCCCTCTGTGATGGTCTTAGGGGACTTGCTTTAGACATTTGTCCAGGAAAATGGCTCACCCAAGTATAAAGGCTTGGCTTCACTGCAGGAAAAGTGAGGAACTATAAAATGCTCCTGATTGCCACATTATGAGCAGTGTATAAATACCCTGGCCAGTCTGGTGAAGTCTTCATTATTTGTAATGAAGGCTTTCTTCATGAACATGTTGTGGGGGAAAACCTTCTTAAGGGAAGATTTGGGTCTTGGTGGCAAATACGCCTTTCTCAGGCAGAATGATTAATTATCAACCTAGAGAACTCTCTATGTGAGAATCTGAAGGAAACTGTGGAGTTAGAGAAAAAAATAAACAAGCCATTAGGAATTTTACTTAAAATTGTAAATGTGTTGACATTTATATACCACTACCCATATTTGACAGATACTAATTTTTGCCATATTTGCTTTGGTTTTATTTTTTCCAAGATAAACTTTTACAGAAAATAAACCAGCCCATTTCTCCTTTCTTTTCTTTCTTTCTCCACCGAGATAATTACGTTCTAAAGTTGATTTTTGTCATCCCCTTGTACATTTTTGTTCTTTTACCACTCATATACTATCCATAAACAACGTATATACTATTATGTATTGTATTCATAAAAACTATGTAAGTGGTATCTCACTTTTCAACCTGTTTTTATTAGTCAACATTATGTTTTTGAGTGGAGATCTGAGTTTTTTCATTTCCACTGCTTAATAGCTTCACATTGTATAATTAAACTACAGCTTATCTATTCCTCTACCAAAGAAAGCTGTTTTAGCCTTTTCATAATGACAGTACCTTTTAAATTGTGCAGGAGTTTCTTGAGAGAGAGATGGAATTACTGGGTACTAGTGTATTAACTGCATTAAATTATAATCATCAGTTTTATCAATTTATTATGTCCATCAGCTAGGGTTTAAAGGTTCAGTATCAACACTTGATACTGTCAAACTGTTTAATGTTTACCAATTAGATGGTGTGAAATGGTATTTTGATTTAATTTGCATTCCTCTGGTTACTGATAAAGTTGAGTGTCTTCTCCTATGTTACAGGCAAAAAAAAAAAAATTATCAATGTGTCTATAGTTGAGGTAGGCGGTAGGCTTCATGAAAGCAGGAGTTTTTGACTTCTTTGTTTACTGCTCTATTCACAACATCCAGATCCACATCAGGTACTTGAGTTAGGTACTCAATAAACTATTTGTTGACTGAAGTGAAGAGCTAATAGATGTCCTAAACTCCCTGTCTCAAGCATAGAAATAGGCTGGTCAAAGCCAAAGCATTCGGATAACAATATGAGGATATCATTAGTTTGATGATGATACAGACCAGTACTTCCCAAAATGTGTTCTGTGTCAAGTACTTCCTAGAGCTGCAGATGTTAACAAAGTTAACAGCAGGCGTCTTTTTTAGCCTGCTAATATGGTGAATTACACCAATTGATTTGTTAATGTTGAATCAGCTTTGCATTCCAGGGATAAGTCCCAGTTGGTTGTGATTTATTGTCCTTTTAAAATATTGCTGGAGGGCACCTGGGTGGCTCAGTTAAGCATCTGCCTTCGGCTCGGGATTGAGCCCCACATCGGTCTCCCTTCGGGGGGGGGGGGGGGGGGGGGTGTGCTTCTCCCTCTCCCACTCCCACTCCCGCTGCTTGTGTTCCTGCTCTATCTCTGTCTCTGTCAAATAAATAAGTAAAATCTTTAAAAAAAATATTGCTGGATTTGATTTGTCAATATTTTGTTAAGGATTTTTGCATCTATATTCATGGAGGCTGTGGTTCTATAGTTTTATTTTCTTCTAGTGACTTTGTTTTTGATATCAGGGTAATATTGGCCTTATAGAAGGAGCTAGGAAATGTTCTTCCTTCTTGTTTTCTGAAAGAGTTTATGTAGATTTAGTATAATTTCTTTAGGTGTTTGGGAGAAACATTGAGTGATGTTGAGTGATGCCATTGAGTGTGGAGTTTTCTTTGGAGAAGATTTTTTTTTTTTCAAAGATTTTGTTCATTTATTTATTAGAGAGCAAGAGAGAGAGAAACAGCATGAGAGGGGAGAGGGTCACAGGGAGAAGCAGGCTCCCCACTGAGCTGGGAGCCTGATGTGGGACTCGATCCCAGGACTCCGGGGTCATGACCTGAGCTGAAGGCAGTCGTTTAACCAACTGAGCCACCTAGGCGCCCCCAAGATTTTTTTTTTTTTATCACAAATTCCATTTCTTTAATAGATGTAGGACTATTCATGTTATTTATTCTAGGGAGTTTTGGTAGTTTGTGTTTTTTCAAGGAATTTCTCCATTTTCTCTAATAACACATCTGTTGTCCTAAAGGTGTTCATAATAGTCCCTTATTATTCTGTGAATATCATTAGGATATATTGTGATACCCTCTCTGATTCTTGATACTGCTAATTTTTATCTTCTCTGTTTTTTCTTTTTTCCTTGATCAGTTCTATTAATGTTTTATCAATTTTACTGATATTATTGAGGAACCGGCTTTGGCTTCTTTGATTTTCTGTGCTATTTTTCTGTTTCCAATTTTATTGATCTCTGTTCTTTATTATATCATTCTTTCTGCTTGCTTTTAGGTTTAATTTGCTGTTCTTTTTTAGTGTCTTACCATAGGTTTTGTTTAAATTGGCTTCTATTGCTGATTTATTCCCATGTAGATATATCTGTTTTTCAGTTGTTATGTTTATTCTGTTTTCCCCTATATGAGCTTTACTCTAAAAGACTTGAAAACATGACAGACCTCAAATTAGCAAAGAAAAAAATCTTGATTACAATTACAGACATAATCCCTTAACTTTATTCTGGGTACTTCTGCCTGTTAGAGACATTGCTGTTTTGATCCTAGAGTGTATTGAGAAATGAGCATTATATAGTATTGGATATGGTATATTTTTGGTGACTTTGAGCCTTAATAACATAATTTTACTAAAGTTCCAGATTGTTTTTTCTTCGGTTGCTATTTTATTTTGTTTCTGCATTTTTTTTTTAGTCTGCATATTTGAGTTTGTAATTTTCTATTATTTTAAGAAAAAATAAGCTTCTATAAGCCTCTGTGGATGGGCTAATTTATTTAATTGTATCCTTAAAGAAATATTTTGGAAGTCCCTAGGAATACTTCCTTACTTTAGCACTGAGTTGGTCTTCAGACCTACAGTTTAACTTTTAAAATAATTTATTTTTCACTTTTAGATCTGTTTTTATGGAGGCATAATATACATACAGTAAAATATGCAGATCTTAAGTATACAGTGAATAAATTAAAACCACCACTCAGATCAAGATTCTAAGAGAATTCTTTAGTGCTTTGGGGAATAGTAAAATGTTGATCCTTTTACTATATTTTGCATTCATTAAAAACCCTTATTTGTAAGCACAGTCTTAATCAGCAAACTATAAAACTAGGGAAAATATAGAAAAAAATAACTCTTTCCCCAAGGTATAAAAAAGACTTACAGAATAGATAGTAGTGCTTCTGAGGTAAGGTTGAAAGATTGAGGGTTTTTTTTGGTGTGTTTGATTTTGGTCAGAAGAATGGGTAATTTTTTGATGTAAGGGGTTTCAGAATATAAAGAGTTAATGTGAGTGATGCCAAACAGTGGTTTAGAGCCTTCACTGATGAAGTGAGTTTGAATTAAAGGAGAGATTTCATTTAAATATTGGAAAAATCTTTTTGACATTTTTTTTTTAATTTTATTTATTTATTTGAGAGAGAGAGAGAGAATGAGAGATAGAGAGCACAAGAGGGAAGAGGGTCACAGGGAGAAGCAGACTCCCCACTGAGCAGGGAGCCCGATGCGGGACTCGATCCCGGGACTCCAGGATCATGACCTGAGCCGAAGGCAGTCGCTTAACCAACTGAGCCACCCAGGCGCCCTCTTTTTGACATTTTGATGCTAAATCATAAAATGTGAGGTTTGTGAATGGTTAGCTTTAAGAAAGAAATAATCTATGTTGGTTTAGCTATTAAATTTGCCTAGAGATAGGTTTGGACTTATCCTCCTAGTTGAAGATGTTGTGACCTACATCTGATAGCACTAGAACATACTTGGTCATATCTTGAGTTTGGTTTTATTTTTTTTTGTCTAGAAGATTAAGATTGCGGCCCTGCGCATGTATACTAGCTGTGTGGAGAAAACTGACTTCGAGGAATTCTTTCTAAGTAAGTTATTGTTTTTGATAGTTCTGAAAAGGAAAATGAATCTACTTTTCATGGGGTGCCTGGTTGGCTCAGTCGGTAGAGCATGTGACTCTTGATCTTAGGGTTGTAAGTTCGAGCCCCATGTTGGGTGTAGAGATTACTTAAAAATAACATCTTAAAAAAAATCTATTTTTCATTTTTATGACTGTATCGGTTTTGAGTCATTAGTGAAACAATTTTTCCTGTGCAGAGTGTGTAATAAAAGCTGCTTATTTTTATCTTTTAATAGAATAAACAAGGGCAAGAAACCCTATGAATAAGACACTTTAACAAGTTTGAAAAGAGAAGAAACCTAAAAATTTGTCTAGTACTTTGACATTTTTCCACACATGCATCTTTTTACATATGAGTACTCATAGTAAACAAATCCTGTTTACATTCTGGTGGTTTTACTGAGCATTTTGATGTGAAATGAACTTTCTGCCAATCATTCATTCCTCTTTTATTTCTAGTTTTTAATTGTTTTGGTTGATTCCTAATGATTGTTTTATTTCTGTTGAAGGATAATTGGGTCAAAAGGTATATATATATGTGTGTGTGTGTGTATATATATATAATTTTATTTTTTATATCCCATTGATAAATTGTTTTCCAAAAGGGTTTTACTGGTTTAGACCACAATTATCATTTGATTATATCAATATAGGATTCATTTTGATTCTGTAAACTGTTTAGTTATAAATAAAGTTAGTTAAAGCAGGTACTTATAAAGTAACTGGGAAAGTTTAAGCTGGGGGCGCCTGGGTGGCTCAGTCGGTTAAGCGGCTGCCTTTGGCTCAGGTCATGATCCCAGGGTCCTGGGATCGAGCCCCATGTCCGGCTCCCTGCTCAGCAGAGAGCCTGCTTCTCCCTCTCCCTCTGCCTGCCACTCTGCCTACTTGTGCTCTCTATCTCTCTGTCAAATAAATAAATAAAATCTTTAAAAAAAAAAAAAAAAGAAAGTTTAAGCTGTTCCTGGTTCTACAGATTTTGGAAAGAAATGTGTGCTTTGCACATCTGTGGTAACAGCCATTATCCTGCAAGCCACAAACACTTAACTGTATATATTTGATATTTTTCATGGAGAGCAAATATTTATATAGAATTATGTTAATAACAAGGAAGATAGCTAGATGCTGTTTGGATTATTTAATCACTATTTTGGTTTTTTAAAACCAAATGCAAGTTGTTTTGGTGATTTTACAATTTCAGCAGATTGATGTTATGTTAGAAACTTAAAATACCCTACTGAGTTGTAATCCTGATTTAGTGTCTACCTTCTGTTTCTTATTTATTCATGGGGACAAAAGTAAACTTTCCTGCTTCCTTTTAATCTCTAAAAATTTCTCATTTTAGGAGAAATTAGTTGAAAGGAGAAAATATTCTTTATTTATTTGATGAAGAAACTACTGGAGCGCCTGGGTGGCTCAGTCGGTTAAGCATCTGCCTTCAGCTCAGGTCATGATCCCAGGGTCCTGGGATTGAGCCCCACGTTGGGCTCCCTGCTCAGCGGGGAGTCTGCTTCTCTCTCTCCCTCTGCCTGCCTGTCTGTCTACCTACCTGTGATCTCTCCCTCTGTCAAATAAATAAATAAAATCTTAAAAAAAAATGAAGAAACTATTAATATTAGAAGCTGGATTTTTCTTTTTCTTCTTCTTTTTTAAAAGATTTTATTTATTTATTTGACAGAGAGAGACACAACGAGAGAGGGAACACAAGCAGGGGGAGTGGGAGAGGGAGAAGCAGGCTTCCCGCGGAGCAGGGAGCCCGATGTAGGGCTCGATCCCAGGACCCTGGGATCATGACCTGAGCTGAAGGCAGACGCTTAATGACTGAGCCACCCAGGCACCCCATAAGAAGCTGGATTTTTCTTTTTTTTAAAGATTTTATTTATTTATTTGAGAGAGATAGAATGAGAGTTAGAGAGCACAAGAGGGAAGAGGGTCAGAGGGAGAAGCAGACTCCCCGCCGAGCAGGGAGCCCGATGTGGGACTCGATCCCGGGACTCCAGGATCATGACCTGAGCCGAAGGCAGTTGCTTAACCAACTGAGCCACCCAGGTGCCCCGAAGCTGGATTTTTCTTAAGTGATTTCTAGAATACATGTCCCTAAATATTTTTCATCAGATCTTTTTAAATCTTCATCCTCAGATATCTGTTTAATATTTGATTCCATAAATAACTCATAAATTTATAATTATTTTGAAATGATGTTTACTAGTTATCTTTGTCTTAGCCAGTCCTCATTATTAAAGATCCTTGAGTTAATATTATAGATTGAATAATGAGATTATTATTACATATTTAAGGTAACATGTCATGTTTCAATGTATAATCTGTTGTAATCTACTTATAAAAATAAAAGTTAATACAAATTATTACCATTATATGCTAATAATTTACATTTACATGGTATGCTTTTACATTTGTCTCATTTAGGAGTTACAAAACCTTGTAGGATAGGAAGGACTTGTATTCTTGTTTTCATTTTTATTTTCTTTTCAGAAACAGTTGAAACTTAAAAGGCTAAGTGATTTCCCAAAGTTGCTTAGCTAAGGCTTGATCCTATGTTGTCTGGCTTAAAAGCCAGGAATTTTTCCACTATAACATATGGCCTGTGAAAGAATGTAACTGCAAATTAGAATTATAATCCATTTTAACATTTTTGTATGTTACTGTTTTCAAATAAGAACTACCTCTAGGCGACATTCTATTAGTATTATAAACTGATGTTTACATATATTAGAGTATGTTCACCTCAGTAAGCTTTGTTCTAGCTTTGCCCTTTGAAGTAGTTACCTGAGGAAGCAGTACATTTTTCAGTGACGCCACTCTTGCTTAAGGTTTTTTAAGACTCAATTTAAGAATTGCCTTTTAGACTTACGGCTTGTTCATTTGTATCATGCTCCACCGTGGTCCATCTTTGTCATTTGTGGGTAGAGTAAATTTTAAAAGGAAACCAAAGTGGTTCTGAACTGTGGCTAGGAATAAAAAAGGGAGCCAATTTGAAAAATACTATTTGGAGGCAGATAAATATCTATGAAACAATGAGACTTTCTTGCATCTTCTAAAGGAAGGTTCTAAAGAGTAGGCCAGGCAGGTTTGGGGTAAAAGAAGAGAATATATATATCACTTCCCAAGATTATACCTTTAAAGTGGCTGTTGCTCCCTTGGATTTTTGGTATTTTAGGGCTTGACTTTTAGAGTCCTGAGCATTCAGTAATTTTTAAAAAGGATAAAGAGGCTTAGGTAGCTCAGCACTGTCATCCTTACTCTTCCAACAAAAGTAAGGCCAGTGTTAATTCATGAAGATTGTGTAAGAATGAGTTGTTTACTCACAGTGTGCTTGTGAGTAAACAATAAGCCTATAGCTTCTTGGATAGGCCCCCATAAAGTGCCCAAGTTATAGACTCTCTAACGTGTTCAGAGGTCTTTCTTGATCCAGAGACCTAGACCTTGGGGATTCTGACTGTTGAGATTAACAGCCAGCCCCCTGTTGTTTCCAAGATGTTCTGATGGTGTAGGTCATTTGTGGCGTCAGTGAGCATAACCTCTGTGAGCCTGCAGTGGTTTGCTAACTGGTCTTTTGGAGATCGGTTCTGTTATGAGGAACACTTTGGAACAGATGGGGCCAATCAGTAAAGTTTGGGTTTAATTCCATACTGAAATTCTGTACTGTATGAAAACTGCTTTGTCTTTAGCTCTTAAGAGACTTAATACCTTGGAGAGGAGGCTCCTTAATGAATAAGTTCTGAGTCAGTGATTGAGGTTCATCATTTTATTGACACAGTCTTAAATGGCGAGCTATTTAAGATATTTTAAACCCTAGTGTTTAAATAATTCACCGAGAAACAACAATAGTAAATATTTATTGAGTACCTATGAAATATTAGCCATTTTGCTAAACATTTTACAGGCCTTATCTCATTTAATCCTCACAAATTCCTATAAGGTAGGTTCTCTTGTTCTCCCCATTTTGACAGAGAAGACAGCTGAGGCGCAGAGAAGGCTAAGTAACTTTACACAGAGTCACGTAGCAAGGAAGAGGTCCAGTCAGGGTTTTGAATCGGGAGGTCTGACCCCAGAGCCTGCATTAAACAAACAACTGTGTTAATACTGCCACTCCATAACAGTGATGAATTATTTAATTTTATCCAACTTGGTATTGAGGAAGAAAGTACCTAGCCTCAGAAAATAATGCAATGAGTGTGTATTGGTGCAAGAGTGTGATCTTGACAAAAGACAATAACAGCTTTTAACTTTGAGGTGTTTAAACATAGTTCATTGAGCTGGAGATCTTCTGTGTTTTTGTGATGCTTATGGTCAGACATTCAGTGGTCTTGTTTCTTAGGGCTTTACCCTGTGAGTTTCTGTTCTGACTCCATTGGGTACAGGGAGTCAGTATGCCAGCTCTTTTCCCATCATTAGCCCTGAGCCGACCCCCGGAATGGAAAATTGTGACCCAAGTCCAGCTGCTGGCCTGTCTGTCTGTGCTTTCCAGCCCAAGAATTGATTCCCTCTCTGAGAGAATTGGAAAGGCTCCTGGAGGCTGCTGAGAAGCTTTGATGTAGAGGTAGCAATTGAACAGATTGTCCTTTAGAAGCAGCCAAATTTCGTTTTCCAGATTGAAAGACAGATTTCCAAGAAAACTTTTCTTTTTAATGTTTTGTTCTAGCATCCAAAAAAGACCCAACTTCAGATCTGGGCTTGAGAGTTTCTCATGGCTATTCTTGTTTGGTGGAGGGTGGTTGGCCCACTCTCAGATGGCATGTGTCTTAATAGCTGTATGGTTGGCCAGACCAGCCTTCACCTCCCTCCTGCTGGGTTCCAAGAGGAAGTCCACTTGACAACTGCTGGGCACCTCCTAGTAAGCTCACCAGAGTATTTTGGTGTCACTCTGTGACAGACCTGGACTTAAACTTCAGCCCAACCACTAGCTTGTTATATTGTGGCTGCCCTCAAGTTACTTAGCCTTTTTGAGCCTGTTTCCTCATCTCTAAATGAGGATTGTAATGCCTCCCTTCAGGGTTAAAGTGAGGATTAAATGAGATAATATATTGACATGAGTAGCAGTGGACCTAACAGGAAATACGGGCCCTTAGTGAATGTTAGTTTCTAATATTAGTATTAGAGAAGCAGTTAGCGATTAAGACGACAGTGCCTAAAATCAAGCAGATCTGAATTTGATCCTAGATGTTTCATTTCATAGCTGTGTGACCTTGGGCAATTGTCATGGTGTCTCTCTAAGAGTCCATTTTCTCACCTGTCATTGAGGGTATTGTGAATACCCACCCGATAGGCCTGTTGGTAGAATTCATTGAGATGCACGTAAGCATCAATTACAATGTCTCGCACAAAGTAAGCCTGCAAGGATTTACAACTCTTTATTATTGGTAGTATTAGTGTGCTTCACAGAGGTTCTGCTCTGTGTTTTCTTTCCCAGTGGCCCCAGTTTGTTATCGACGAAGTACATTGTATTGTTTGCTGCGAGGCAGAAAATATCCCCTTTTTCTTGAGTCATTGCTCAAAGGGCGGATTCTACCCAAAGGGCCCAAATTGACTGATACTCACTTTTCTTCATCCTCTTGCTCCAGCATTTCTCCGTGCCATGTAATAGGTAGGGGGCATTCAGTGGGGATCCCTCATCTAGCCAGTGGTATCTCCTAGCGGTCTGAGAACCGAGAGGCGTGGATGTCTAAGCGTTGACCCGAGTTTTAGTATCTTAAAGTTTTGTCATTCCTGGGGGGCGATGAATAGCCTTTCATTAGATGTGATCTGCTTTCTCATTTAACTACAGCTCCCTAGAGCCTCACTTCTTTCTCCTGGTCATTTATTTTGGGTGAATCATTCTGCATACCCATGTTTGTAGCATACTGGGTCGCCTTAAAGAAGAAAGACAGGAAAAAGAAACTAGAAGTACTTAGACTTCTCAGTGGGGCTCCAGTGAAAAATGCCTATACTTAAGTGGGGTAGGCAAAGTAGTGTATGCCGAGCTTTCCAGATGAATTTGAGACCAGGACGGGAAAATAGCATGTAAGTTGGAAGGAACCATACAGATCATCTAGGCCACATTATACGAAGTGAGAAAACTGAGCATCTGAGAAGAAAAGTGATTTGCCCAAGGCCACACAGCAAAGTGGTACTGGGGCTGGAACTAGAAGGCTGGTTGTCTGACTGCATTCAGTGCTCTTTCAACCCATTGTCTCGTCCTGTGGTTCCACTGGCCCTCTCTGTGGTCGCATAATCAAAGAGCACTGTACCTGCCATATATTTGAGTTGAACAGATTCCTACCAATATTTAAAATACAGTCAACATTCCTTCTCTAAACCCTCACATATTTATACTTTATTGTTTTTTTCTAGGGTGTCAGATGCCTGATACATTCAATTCATGGTTTCTCATAACTCTGCTTCACGTCTGGTAAGTGAGCAATTTAAATGAAGTCACCAAATGTATTTTTTTTTTTTTTGAAACACGGCTAACTTGTAAGGTATAGCCTTCAGCAGGGCTGATTATATGAAATGGCAGTTGTTCAGGCATTAAAAACTGTTCCTTTCATTTTAATAACTAGTGTCTTTTTTTTTTTTTTTTAACTAGTGTCTTAAATCACATTTTTATTAAAGGTCAAAGCATAGTCCCAGAAAGAAACTAATATTTGTAGGCTTTTCTCAAAGAACACCTAGCCTGGTGAACAATGCTATCAGTATCTCTAAGAGACTCTGTGAGCTTGGATGGAAAGTTCTCTCCCTTGGCTGTTTTAGGAAAGTTCACATTTACGTAAAAGTGGTTTGAATTGTGAGAATCCGTGGTCATTTTCATTGCTGGTCATCAGAAACCTATAACAAATTATAGCACTGACATTTACGCCTGTACCTCTAAAATGTGCATACAGGTTAGATTCATGCCAGGTTTGTTGCATGTAAAAATATTTAACACCTTAAACAGTATATTTTTTCTTCAGCTGCAAATTAAGTAGCCAAAAAAAATCAATTTTTCATCTAATGTTACACAGTATTAAAGGTCAGAAGGATATAGGAGAGACGTTGAAGTGGGGGCTGGGGAATGCATTTATTGAACTGCCAGATCTTGGGAAAGTAAATTCTGGAGAACTATGTTTACTACTCTGACCATAGTGAGTATCTGAGGAACGTGGGGAATGGTTGCCCTGTCAAAAGGACCCTTGTTTGAGACTGCCTTCAGCTGAGCTTTGCATCACAGGACTGACTACTATATAAAGACTTTTTGGTTTTGATCACCTCTGAAATATTTCTTCTTCTGAACTCACATAGTCACTGAGATTGGCTGAGGGGCATAAGGTAGCAATTTATTTTATGTTATTTTTTCTAAGCGGGTACTTCATTGAGTGCACACTATGTCCCGGGCAGTTTGCTGGGAACTAGCAGTGGTTCTCAAGAAGCTCACAATATAACGAGGGAGATAAGACATTTAAAATAGTCAGTGATAAATAGGAATGGCTAAGTTCTATACTAGATCTGAGTAAGTAGTGCCTGTGCGACCACAGAGGAAGCCACAATTATCAAAACCTTCACGAGTTCTGCCTATTGTTTGAAATATACTGTCTTTTAGTCAGGCAGCTGAGAAGGCACACTACCTTCTGTCCGAATGGTGAGGATTAAGAAAAGGTTTAGGGAGGGCAGCTGGATATGCTGAGAGGAAAACCACTTTTTCAAGAGGAGAGGACTGCAGAGGTGGCATTGCAGAATTACTCATTGGAAAGGTGGGAGGGCTGAGAGGAGGCTGGGCTGTTCCCAGAGGAACTCAAAGATAATATTCAGAGCTTGTATGAAAGACTCTTTATTGCCCATATAGCTAGAGGTATCAGAGTGTTAGAGGGAGTGGATGGCAAAATAAAATATATAATCCCTGTAACCACATCCCAAGGTCAATCCCTGACTAATAGTAGCCAGGAGAACCTTGAAGCTACTTACAGTTCCTTCAAGATAGCCACCATTTCCCAACATGCCTCCTGCATCTTCCTTGCTGAGGTTGGTTTTAATTTCTCAGAGGAGTGGGGAGTACTGCTACCAGTTAAGTAGGGGGAGGGAGGCTGTCTGCTTCAAATCTACACTTGGCCTCCCCTCCACACTGCCTCTTTAGTTCTTAGGATCTGCAGTCTTTGGTAGAATGAAGTGGTAGCTTTTCACTTTGAATCGGGAAACTCATTATTGAGAACTCACTGTGTGTTAAGGACTGGGGGGCTTTGGAGAGAAGGGTATGACATGGCATGCACCTTTAGAAACTTAGTCTAGCAGATAACAGGCAGAGAACACAATTGCCCATAATGGATGATAGTGAAAGAAGTGTTGTGCCCAGGGCACAAGCAGACACTATGGAAGGACAAGGGGGTGTGACTAAATCCAAATGTGGTGGTGGCGGGCGGAGAGTATTGGATAAAGAGCTCTGTGGTAGAAGTGATGTTGAGATGTACCATGAAGGGTGAGTAGAATTTCTGTCAGAGAAAAGGAGGGCATTTTAGGTTGAGGGAATATCAGGAGCAAACTACAGAACGTATGTGCAAGGACATGGAGTATTTGAGGACAGCCACTTGTCTGAAGTGTCTAGAGCACGTTTGTGGAGGAATTTTAATGGGAAGGGTCGCCATAAATGTAGTTTGGGGCCCAATTGTGCTGTCATCCTTCAAGAAGAATTGGGAAACTTTCTCTTCTAGGGGAGAGGGGTATTAGGAGGAGTAATGGATCCAGTCCAAGTCTGTGGAGAAGCTATGTTCTTTCCAGCCCTGCTCTCTTAGCCAGAGGGATAGCCATATCCAGTATTACAGGACTCAGTGGACTTCTTAGAGGTGTGTAGGGTTGAAATACCTCCTGTAGGTGGTAGTATGAGGGAGAGCTAGGGAAGCTTAGAAAGCAGTTACAAAAGTAGAAAGAATCCTCCCATCCCCTAAGAAAAAAAATAAACCCAATAAACAGAATACCCTGGCAGTGGACTTTTCAGAAAGCTTGCTTGGGTTCCCAAGGGTGATGGGTCCCTGTTGGCTCTTAGAATAGGGACAGGATTTCTCACATCCTTTTAGTTCTCTGGAGGAGGTGTCGATTCCCTTATCCTGTCTGCTTTCTCTAGTTCTCAAGTTTTTCTGTGTATTTTCAATTTCTAGAAGTCCCTTATCAGTTGTGTATTCACATGAGCTTGCAGCTGCAATGACTATGTGTCCTTTGTCTTTGTCGAATAAGATTAGTATTGACTGTGGCCGCTGAAAAATTGTTGAGAGAGGTTGCTGTCTGGGCTTTCCTGCATCCAAATGTGGACTTGATAAAGGCAGGCCTCCTCCTCTGTTCCCTGTCTTGGGCAATGGCATTGCAATCCATTCCGGTATCCACACCAGAAACCAGGGAGATCTCCTTGACTTTTCCCTTACCCCTTCATCCAGTCTCAAACTTTTTTGACCATCACCCACAGTAACAAATGAATTTTACTCTGCAACCCAGAACACACACGTCTCTGATATTATAGTTGTAAAACTTGTCCTTACAATGTCAGATAGTCTCTGATATTTTCTATTCCATTTGAATTCATTATAAAGAAAAATTTAAGATGTCACCCATTAAATTGATTTTACTGGGTTATAAGCAACAGTACCTGGAAACTGGTCTTCGGCCTCCAATTTCCATCTTCACATGCCGTTGGTCTTCTCAATACAAATTGGATCAGTACACACACACGCGCGCGCACACACACACACTCACACACACACTCTCGCACACACGCACACACTCGCACTCTCACACGCACACACACACACACACTCACACACATACTCCTTAATATTCTCCATTATTCTCGGGACAGAGTAGGTTTCTTAGCATGGTATTCATATCCCATCCGTGTGCCACCTCTGCTAGTCTTATGTGCTAGTCTAGGTACCACTATCACCACCACTCCCTCCTCTGCAAAATAAAACAATATTACATCATGGAAATAGCAAGTCTTCTGTACAAAGCTTTCTTCTGTCCAGAAGGTGCTTCTCCTTGCTATCCCCCTGGCAAACTCCTGTTTTTCATTCAATATCCAATTTAGATGTCATTTCTCTTTGAAGCCTTCCCTACCCTTTGAAGGCAAGAGTTAGTTCCTCTTTTGTGTTCTCCTAGTATTTCAGACATCTTATCATAGCATTTGTCACGTAACATTATTATGTTTTATCGTATAGTCTTTGTGGATAGTGAATTTATGAGAGCAACAATTATTTTTATTACTTTTTTGGAAAGATATGAAAATGAGATATTTCTTCCCTCAATTGCATGTCTGACTCTTAATTTGTATCAATAAGTGTTCATTAAGTGATTGATGGCCCCAGATCTGACTTGGCTGCCACAGCATTTGGAAGGGTCCTGGTCTTTTGGTTGGGTGAGAGTGGCAGAGCTCCGCTCCTACTTAAGTTTCTCTGGTGGTTACATGTATGTAGCTGGAATTTATGTTGCTGTTAGTGGGTTTGTAAGAGACTCCTCTTTTAGTCGTGGAAAGCTAATACCTTCTAGATGCAGAAGTGAATGTTAGAAAATGGAATGGGATAAATAAAATTAGCATATGCCTATGATGGAGATGGAATGCAGGGAGTAAATTTGTAAGTTTGTATTTTATTTTATTTTTAAGTAATCTTTACATCCAATATGGGGCTTGAGTTTACACTCCGAGATCAAGAGTCACGTGCTCCACCGACTGAACCAGCCAGGTGCCTCTGCAGTTTGTATTTTTAAAAATTATTTTAAAGTCAGGTGTATCATATATGTAATAATTATTAAGCCTTTTACATATATATATATATATATTTTTTTTAAAGATTTTATTTATTTGAGCACGAGAGGGAAGAGGGTCAGAGGGAGAAGCAGACTCCCCGCTGAGCAGGGAGCCCGATGTGGGACTCGATCCCGGGACTCCAGGATCATGACCTGAGCCGAAGGCAGTCGCTTAACCAACTGAGCCACCCAGGCACCCAAGCCTTTTACATATATTATCTTTTATTTATTTTACATGTATTGTCTCACACATTCGTACAACTACTTTATTTTACATATGAGGGGTCAGCAGCTTAGAGAAGTCAGAGAACTTGCCCAAAGATCTAGTTAGTACATGGTGGAGAGGAAATTCAAAGTATAGGTCTGGCTAACTCGAAGTATTAAGTTGCTTTCCTCATTGGTAATTAAAGCTACCAAAGTTAACTAATTAAATGATTGCTTATTAATACTAATACTATTTAATTTTATTAATGCTATTTATTATTTAAAGTACTTGCTTATTCTTAAACATAAATCTGTAAATTATAGGGGCTCCTGGCTGTCTCGGTCCGTGGAGCATGTGACTCTTGATCTCAGGGTTGTGGGTTTGAGGCCTACAGTGGGTGTAGAGATGATTTAAAAATTAAAGAAAAAATTAAATCCATAAACTTA